GGCTTCTTCGAGAGGGGCCTGTACAAGGCTGCGCCGCCGCGCGGGGCTGTGCGCGCCCACGGCGGAGCAGAGGGTTCCCGGCCCGGCCGAGGGGAGCCCTGCCGGTGGTGACGACGACGACGACGACAACGGCAATGTCGACAACGACGACGATGTCGATGACGGCGATGATGATAATGCTGCTGATGACGACGATGATCATGATGATGATGAGGATGAGCAGGCGGAAATGATAATGATAATGAAGCTGATGATGATGCTGATGATTATCATGACGATGACGATGAGGATGAGGATGAGGATGATGATGATGAGGATGAGGATGATGATGATGATGATCATTATTATTATTCATATTTTTATGATGATGATGATGATGATGATGATGATGATGATGATGATGATGATGATGATGATGATGATGATGATGATGATGATGATGATGATGATGGTGGTGGTGGTGGTGGTGGTGATGATGATGATGGTGGTGGTGATGATAATGATGGTGGTGGTGGTGATGATGGTTGTGATGATGATTATGTTGATGATGTTGATGAGGAGGACGACTGCGATCATGATGATGATGACGATGACGTTGTAAATGACGATGACGATGACGATGGTGGTGGTGCTGATGATGGTGATGATGATGATGACGATGATGATGATGCTGACGATGACGATATTGAAGAACACGCTGATGCTGATGATGTTGCTGATGATGGTGGTGTTGCTGTTGATGATGGTGATGCTGCTGCTGATCGTGATTGTAATAATGGTGGTTGTGAGGAAGCTGCTGCTGCTGATGGTCATGACGGGGTGACGGCAACGACGATGTCGACGACTATGGCTATGGCGATGCAGACGACGACGATAATGCTGCTGATGATAACGAGAAGGGTTCTGGTGATGATGAAGAGGATGAGGACGACGGTGATGATGATGCTGACAATAGGCGATGATGATGATGATGATGATGATGATGATGATGATGATGATGATGATGATGATGATAGTGATAGTGATGGTGATGACGACATGGTGATCATGACGATGGGCGTGATGCTGAATATTGTGATCTGACAATGATGATGTGAATGACGATGGCGACGACATTGACGATCACGCTGATGATATGATGATGCTGATGATGATCATGATGATTGTGATGGTGATGATGATGATGATGCTGATGATGACGATTATGGTGGTGTAGGTGGTGTTGTTGATGATGCTGCTGTTGATGATGATGATGATTCTAATGGTGACGAGCACGACAATGCTGCTGATGATGCTGATTCTGATGAACATGATGATGATGATGATGATGATGATGATGATGATGATGGTGATGATGGCGATGACGACGGCCACGACGACGACAACGACGATGTCGAAGACGATGGCGATGACGACGACGTGGATGATACTGATGATGACGTCAATGATGATGAGGATGATGACGATGGCGATGATGATGCTGATGTTGATGTTGATGCTGACGATGATGATGCTGATATTCATGATGATGCTGCTGCTGCGGATGATGATGATGGTGACGATGGCGGTGATGATGATAGTGGTGATGGTGATAAGGATGTTGCGGATGACGGTGATGACGATATGGATTCAGACGATACTGGGGATGATGCTGGCGATGATGCAGCTGTCGCTGATATTGCCACTGATAATGGTAATGATGATGATGCTAATATTTATGATGACGGTCACGACGACGACGTCGACGTCAATGACGATGTCGACAACGATGACGATGGCGATATCGACGACAACGGTAATGATGCTGATGGTTACGATGTGACGACGGCGATGTTGATAATAATGTTGGTGATGATGATGGTGATAATGATCATGATGATGATTATGGTGATGATGGCTACGATGGTGGTGGAGGTGATGATGATGCTGATGATGGCGATGATCATGATGATGCTGATGATGATGATCCCGATGATGATGCTGCTGATGATGATTATGGTGGTGGTGGTGGTGGTTGTGCTGCTGCTGATGCTGCTGATGGTGATGCTGATGATGAGGACGATGTTTATGATGACGTGTATGATGATGGTGGTGGTATAGGTGGCGATCAAGATGAGTATGATGATGGTGACGATGAGGGTGGTGATGATGATGTTGATGACGATGATGCTGAAGATGAAGACGGTGATGATGATGCTGATGATGATGATGGTGATGATGCTGATGATGCTGACGATGTTGATGATGTTCTTGATGATGATGATGCTGCTCATGCTGCTGCTGCTTTTGATGTTGATGCTGTTGTTGATGATGATGCTGATGATGCTTATGGTAGTAATGATGCTGCCGATAATGATAATGATGCTGATGATGAAGAAGAAGATGATGATGATGATGATGTTAATGTTGTTGATGAGGCTCATGATGATGGTGATGATGCTGATGATGATGTTGATTGTTGTTGTTGGTGATGATGCTGATGCTGCTGCTGATGATTATGATGATGATGCTGATGATGACGATGATGCTGATGCTGATGCTGATGCTGATGCTGATGATGATGATGATGATGATGATGATGATGATGATGATGATGATGTTGATGATCATGGTGATGATGATGATGATGATGATGATGATGATGCTGATGCTGATGCTGAGGATGATGATGATGATGATGATGATGATGATGATGATGATGATGCTGATGATGCTGATGATGATGATGATGATGATGATGATGATGATGATGATGATGATGATCATGGATGATGATGATGATGATGATGATGATGATGATGATGATGATGATGATGATGATGATGATGATGATGATGATGATGATGATGATGATGATGATGATGCTGATGCTGCTGCTGAATCTGCTGCTGCTGAGGAGGAGGAGGAGGAGGAGGAGGAGGAGGAGGAGGAGGAAACAGAGGAACAGGCTGCCCGTTAGGGTCCGCCCGCCCGCCCATTTGCCTGCAACCCCACCCGCTCGTTTGGTCCCGCCCGCCCGACCCGCTCGTCGGGGCCCGCCTGCCCGACCCGCCCCATGCCGACTGCTTGCCGGCCTGCCGCTGGGGCGGCCCGCCGGCGAAGCGGCCCGTCGGCGAAGCGGCCCGCCGGCGGAGCGGTCCGCCTGCGCAGCGGTCTCGTTCGGCCACGCGCAGCGGTCTCGTTCGTCTCCTCCTCCTCCTCCTCCTCCTCCTCCTCCTCCTCCTCCTCTCCTCCTCCTCCTTCCTCCTCCTCCTCCTCCCCTCCTCCTCCTCCTCCCCTCCTCCTCTCCTCCTCCTCCTCCTCCTCTCCTCCTCCTCTTCTTCCTCCTCCCTCCTCCTCCTCCTCCTCCTCCTTCTCCTCCCCTCCTCGTCGTCGTCGTCGTCGTCGTCGTCGTCCTATCATGGTTATGGGGGAAGGGGGAAGGCTTGTTAGGAGCACCCCTGCTTCTTAGAAGTCGCGGGCCGTGTCTGCAGATGTAGGGCCAGCGCCTTCTGAGACGCAGGGGTGTTTCTGGGAAGCCTTCCCCCCTCCCCCTACCCCCCTCTTTGCGCCGCGAACTCGTGCTTTCCTCTCCCCTCTCATCCCCCCTCCCTCGTCCTGTGCCCCTGGAGGGTCACCAGTCCCAGAGGCCCCTGGAGCCCGCAGGCAGATCGTTGAGCACCTGCCTCCTCTTCTCCTCCTCGCCCGTGCCCCTTTCGTTAGCGTCAGTCCCCTCTCTCTCTCGTTCTCTCTTTCTCTTGTTCACTCGCCACTCAACGTCCCCCCCCCCACTTCGAACCTGGATCCTCGAGTCTCCCCTCGCCATTCTTGCAATTTTTTCGATCCTTACTCCTCGAATCTCGATCCCCGATCCTCGAACCTCGGTCCTTCCTCTTAGACCACGCGGGGGACGCCCGCTATAGAGCCAACCCGCGGAGTAAGGACGGGCGACCTTCCCAAGGGTACCCTCGCATCCTTGCCTCTTCGGTCTATCCCTGACCACTCTCGTTGGCCGCGCCCTGCTCGAAAAGCCTCGAAGTGGGCGTCCGAGGCCCTTGCATCCTTATCGCGCATCCTTACTCTGCGGGTTGAGTGTACAGTGCCGTTCTTAATACATGCTCCGCGTGCGGATCATGCATGTATCAAACATGCAGGGATTCAGTATTAAAAACAACGATGAGTTCATGCATACATTCATGCATCAATTAGTCATGTATTAAACATCATTTTTAATCCCATGTATTAAAACAAACTGCCCTGTACGCCAGCACCGACCCCCGGTCGCGCTGGTCCTGGGCCCAGGATCGGTGTGTGCTCCCCCCTCGGCCGAGCCAGGAGGCCGTGCATACAGTGGGGGCCCGTGCCAAGAAGCACCCTGCTCCTCCTCCCCCCCCCTCCTCCTCCTCCTCCTCCTCCCCCTCCTCCTCCTCCTCCTCCTCCTCCTCCTCCTCCTCCTCCTCCTCCTCCTCCTCGGGATCCTCCTCCTCGGGATCCTCCTCCCATCGAGCCTCTCGAGCGCGGCCCAGTGGTCGCTCCCGCGACGCGGCCGATGCCCGCGGCGGCGTGGTGCCGCGGAGGCCTGCGGTCTCTGCCGCTCGGGGGCGCGGCCCGACCTGCCGCGCCCGCGCACGGGGGGGGCCCAAAGGGCCTCGCGAGGCCCAGCCGGCCGCCAGCGGCCGAGGCGACGGGCGGAGGTCCGAGAGGGGCCACGAAAAGGTCGGGGGCGGCAAAGAGGAGGGTGATGACTAGGGGGGGATGGATTTCATGGCGCGGGCCATGCTTCTTCCTCAGCTTTCATGGCGCCTCTTCTTATTTCATTGCGGCCCTGGCCCCCCCGCTGGGCCGCGCACATGCCGCCGGTCATGATTTGCCCCCCCCCCCCCCCCCGTGCACACCCCCCTCTTGGCCGCTCCCGAAAAAGGGCCAGAGAAAAAAGAAGGGGGCCAACCCCCGAGGAGAGAGAGGAGGAGGCCGCCTGGCCCGAGGAGGAGAGGGGGGCGACGCGGGGCGCGGGCAAAGGGCAAGAGGCCCGACCCCCAGGGAGAGGAGGGTGGCTGCCTGGCCGAAGGACGAGGGGGGCCAGGGTAGCGGGGGTCGGGAGCCTGGAAACGCCAGGGAAAATCCGCACCCCGACACCCCCGCCCCAGATAGTACCAGCAGCCAAGCCGCCAGATATCCAGCAGGTAATGGGGTGCGGAAGCAGCTGTGCTGCAGACTCCGAAGCCAGGACAGAAGGAGGGGGGAGGGGAAGGAAGCCTCCAGGGCGATCTAAGCAAGGAAACGAGGGGGGTGGACAGGGTCCTGGGTCCTGGCTGGCCTCGCCCGCTCACCGCGGGGCAGCTCATCAGATGCGGTCGACCTCCTCCCCCTCCCCTGGAGGGGGTGTCCTCGATGGTGAGGCCGACCCTCCTGGTGTGGCTGTCCCCGAGCGCGTGGTGGGCAACCTCTGGCTTCTCCCTGTGCCTTCACAGGCTATGATGTACGGGTCGAGGTGTACTGCGTCGTGGATGGTAATCGGGTCAGGCGGGGTAGTTGCTAGTGTCATGCCCCACCGCGCAATCATCAGTCTGTCCAGGGAGTAAGAGATATAGGTCATCAGGTTGGTGAGTTCGCCGTCGTAGTCAATGTGGTTTCGTCGTCATGGCCCTAGTCAGAGTGCCATTGGAGGCTGCCATGGTAGTGTTGCTGGCGGTACCGTGGCGACCAATGTGCTGTAGTTGATGCGTCCTCCAAGCCGTAATTCCACGTCAGGTTGTCGGTTCTGCCGCTGGATGGGCAACAAGCGTTGGGATTTGGAAGGTCTGTGAGGCACCCGAGATCTCGATGATGACCCTCCTCCTCCTCCTCCTCCTCCTCCTCCTCCTCCTCCTCCTCCTCCTCCTCTCTCCTCCCCCTCCTCCTCCTCCTCCTCCTCCTCCTCCTCCTCCTCCTCCTCCTCCTCCTCCTCCTCCTCCCTCCTCCTCCTTCCTCCTCCTCCTCCTCCTCCTCCTCCTCCTCCTCCTCCTCCTCCTCCTCCTCCCCGCGAGCCCAGACGAGGCCTGAGCAGAGCGCGCGGAGAGAGGGCTCGCCTCCAGGGTGCCCTGGTCTCGGTGGCTTTGCTGTGGGCAGCGCGCGCCGTTCCCACGCCAAGGATCGATGGACGTCCTGGGGTCTCAGGGTTGGGTTCCTTGTGTAATCGGGGGTGGACAGACCTCCTACCCTGACACGTCGATTAAGGAATTGGCCGTTTTCGGTTCGCGAGAGGGCGTCGCGGCCGTCATTTTTGCGGGTCCAGGTCCGTCGATTTCGGCCCTAGGTCGTTTTCACTAAAGGGAGGTTTACTAGGAAGGTTGTCCACCGCCGATGGAAGGTTTCTTGTGGACTGGCCTCCACTGTGCCGATCCTGACGAGCCCAGGAAGGGCCTAGTCAGGATCAGTGCTGTTGAAGAAGAAGAAGAAGGAGAAGAAGAAGAAGAAGCAGCGCCATAAACATATAAACCTTTGGCGCTCCGCTCGGATTTCTTGGATCCGCGCTGGGCCCCCCTGGCGGCGCCTCCGGCGCCGCGCGCCAGGGAGGGGGGGTCCAGCGCGGATCTGGGAAATCTGCGCGGAGCGCCAACAGTTTCTGTTCATGCCGTTTTTCTCCTTCCAGTCATCCTGCCCGTCCTCGTCGTCCTCCTCGTCCTTGCCCTCGTCCTCGCCGACGTGCCCGCCTAGCCAGCCACCTTTTTCCGGGGTTGGGCCCTCCTCGTCCTTCTCGTCCTCCTCGACCTCCTCGTCCGTGCCCTCCTCGTTCCTCGCCTTCTCTTGCGGACGTGCCCGCCCCGTCGGTGACCTTCTTCCGGGCTGGGGCGGCCTTTCGCCCCGGACCCGTTCTCTTGTTGGCCCGAGGGGGGCTCCTGCAGGGCCGGGGCTGGGGGAAAAGTAAAATTCAGTCGGGTCTGTCTCTCTACAGGAGGAATAATCCAAGATAGTCAAAAAATAGTGAAGGGACGATGTTACTTCTATTTGTGACTGTTTTGGGGTATTTTTGTGTGTGTGTGTGTGACTATTTGCAATAGTTCGTCCAAAATCCCCCTGTAGAAGGACATGCCCAACCTAAAACTAAAGACTTTCCCCGAATCCATCCCGCGAAGGTCTACGCACGCACGCAGAGCCGCGTCCGGACGGTGCATCGGCAACATCGGCCTGTCACGCGTGAGCTTGCGGTGCGTTGCTCGCCACTGCAGTGCCTCGGGAAACGTGCGCTGCATGCTTTGAGCCTCGAGTCCCCCTCTCCCTCGCCGACCGCTCCCCGTGCCCAGCCGCGCGCGTGGCCGCGCCGCACCCCTCGCCCGTGCCAGCGCGGCAAGTTCACCAGCTGCAACGGCGCCCGCCCGCTCGCCCGCCCGCCGGTCGGGGCGAGGAGGCCCTCTCGAGGGTCGAGGAGGAGGAGGAGGAGGAGGAGGAGGAGGAGGAGGAGGAGGAGGAGGAGGAGCACGGCCCAGAGGTCAGGGCTCGAGGGCCGCGGCTCCAGGCTCGAGGCCCGAGGCTCGCAGCTCCAGGGTCGAGGGTCGAGGGTCGAGGCTCTTGGGTCGAGGATCGTTGGTCGAGCATCGAGGGTCGAGGCTCGCGGCTGGAGGCCCGCTGCCCGAGGGCCGAAGCCCAGGGGTCGAGGGCCGAAGGGTCGAGGATCGAGGCTCGAGGCGTCGAGGGCCGAGAGTGGAGGCTCGCGGATGCAGACGTGGAGGCCTCGGGGGACTTCTGAAGGCCTTGTGGAGCCCCGCTGGGTTGTCGAAGGCCAGACTGTCAGATTGGATTGGGCCCCGAGGGCCAATCTGGCCCGGCCAAACTGGATGATTTGGGTTATTCGCCAGACTGGATTCGCGTTGGCTCCCTCGCCAGATTGCCCCCGTTTGCCAGATTGGGCCTGCCAGATTGGCGCCAGATTGGCTTTGACTACCCAGCCCCAGGGAGTGGATCGAAAGTTGAGGATGGTTGCTCGCTTGTTTGAAGCACCTTGTTGTGCTCCTGGGGCGCCCCATGACCACGGCTGGATCCGACGTGAGACTCTGGCCAGAGCGCACCTCGGGACAGGTCCTGGGGGTCTGGGGCGCCACGAGAACTCGTGACGGTGGTTCTCGACAGTCAGTGCTCGTGGGGGTTGTTTCGGGCCATGGGGTCAGGTCAGGTCAGGTCAAGCCGTAGGCTGGGGCAGCCCATGGGCACGTGCACGGGGCATGGGCCGGGACCCCGTCTTTGACGGCATCCGCCCTGCAAGCTGCGGAACGAGGCTGTGGATGCGCATGCATAATTCTGTTGTACTTCAAAGGAGGGAGACAGGACGCTCGGGGGAAGGGAGGGACGCGCGACGAGCGGGGACGAGAGGCGAGGCCAAATTGTTTGGGACGAGAGGTTATCCCTGGATATGGGGGTCGAGAACTCCAGGGGCTCACGTTGCGAAAACGGTCGTGACGTCGGAGTCCGCCATGAGGGAACAAAACACCCTTCTGCCTGTTGCCATCTCGCTCCGGCCTCCTCGCCCTCCTACCCCAACATCGTGCAAGCAATTGAAGAAGTACGAGTACGTTCGCCCAGGACATCGCGTTTTGGTCACGTGACCTGGTGTCTGCCGCAACCTATGGGGCAACCTAAGGAGGAACGATTCACAGGTCGAATCGTGATTTGGTTGCGCGGCGGTGTTGATGCCGCAGCATGTGGTGCAACACGTGAGGCAACCTGTGGAAGCAGGCTCGTCGGGGAAACTGCGATTTGATTGCGCGGCGGCGGATCTGTGGCAGATGCTGGCGCCGCCCTGGAGCTTCCCACCCCTTCCCTCGTGACAGTCTTCACCCTCGTCCCCTCTCCATGTTCCCAGGGTCCCGAAATGAACCCTCGGAGGCTGATAAATGACAGGCGCAGCGATGTGAAAGTCATACCGATGGAGTCCACACACACAAACGCACACACATACACACCACACGCACACGCACACGCACACGCACACGCACACGCACACGCACACGCACACGCACACACAACACACATCACACACTCCACACACACACCACACACAACACACAGACACACGCGCACGCACGCACGCACGCACACACACACACGCACACACACACACATTCGCACACCCATTCACGCACACATTCACACACACATTCACACACATTCACACACATTCACACACATTCACACACACACACACGCACATGCACACGCACATGCACACGCACTCGCACACGCACACGCACAACACACACAACACACACACAACACACACACTGCACACAGAACACACATACACACACCACACAACACACACATACGCATACGCATACACATACACATACACATACCCATACCCATACCCATACCCATACCCATACACGTACACATACACATACACATACACATACACATACGCACACGCATACACATACACATACCCATACACATACACATACACATACACATACCCATACTCCCATATGCATACGCATACACATACACATGTGCATGCACATGCACATGCACATACACATACACATACACATACACACATACGCATATACATACACATACACACATACACACATGCACACATATACACATACACACGTACACACGTGCACACATACACATACACATGCACGCATACATGCACACACATACACATACACATACACACATCCACATACACACATACACACATACACACATACACATACACACATACACATACACGCATTCACACATACACACATACACACATACACACGTACATACATACATACATACATACATACATACATACTCTACGGCCGCCCGCCGGGGTCTGTGGGGGGGTCCAGGGCTCCCGAGGCGGCCCAGGCCCGCCCCGAAACAGGCCACGACAGGCTAAGGGGTTCCCGAGAGGGCCCAAGACGGTCCCAAGAAGCCCCGAAGACGCCCCAGATGCCCTGAAGACAGCCGACGAGACTCCAACACGCTCCTGGATGGGCTCAAGAGGCTCCCCAAGAGGGCCCTGGGAGGCACAATTCACTCACTGTCCGAGGGTTTTTAAAGTATTTCGGCGTTCTCGCTTTCCCCGCTTTCCAGCGCTTCCTTCTGGCCTCGGAGGCCCTTCAGATCGCTCCAAGACGGACCACGAGGCCCCGAAGAGGGCCCCGAGACGGCCCAGGAGGCTCCCCAGACAACCCAAGTGTGCCCCAAGAGCGCCTCAAGAGGGCGCCCAGAGGGGTCCCGAGGCGGCCCGGGCTCGCCCCCCCGAGAGGGCCCAAGACGGTCCCGAGAGGCCCCGAAGACGCCCCAGATGCCCCCAAGACGGCCGACGAGGACTCCAACACGCTCCAGGGCGAGGCTCCCCAGGAGGGCCCTGGGAGGCACAATTCACTCACTGTCCGAGGGTTTTTGAAGGATTTTGGCGTTCTCCTTTTGGGAGGCACGTTCACTCATTGTTCTCGTCTGAGATGGAGAGATTCGTTGGATGCGTGAGCGGCCTTCATGCACGCGTTTCACTTGATGCATTTTCCTAATTGCCATGCGCACGTCTGCCCCTCAGGGGACTGCTCCGGCTACCGGAGCCGGCACGCAGACTTCCTGTCCTGTCCTGTCCTTTCCCTGGAGCGGGCCCAGAGGCGGACCGCCAACCGATATTTCGAGGTCTCTGGCCCTGAGGCCCCCAGTAGGCCCCCGGAGGCCACCAAGAGGCTCCCACGAAGCCCCGTGAGCCCCAAGAGATCCCCAAGGGGCTCCCAGGGAACGCCCAAGAGGCCCTCCAACACACCCCAAGAAATCATGCCCCAGAAAGCCTTCCTAGGACATGGTTCATCATGGGCCCGAGGGTTCCCGGAGGCCTCCAAGGGGCCCCTAGGGAATGCCCAAGAGGCCCCCCAACAAACCCCAAGAAATCATGTCCCCAGAAAGCTTTCCGGGGACATGGTTCATCATGTGCCCGAGAGTCTCCGGAGGCTCCGAAGTACCATCACGCTACCGGGGAGCTGTCTGGGAAGTTGATTGGGAACATGACTGATCGCCTTCTCGCGGTCCCCCGCAGATCGTTTCGCACAAAGTTGCCCCAAGTGCCCTCTTGAACCGACGACGACGGCCATGACGACGACGAAGACGACGAAACCACGAAGACGAGGACGACGACGAAGTGCCCCAAGAGGCGACGACGACATTACGACGACGACGACTGCACGCCCCAACAGGCTCCCCAAGACGCCCCCCAAACCCATATTCCCAGAAGGTCTTCTGGGAACCAGGTTCAACTGGCCTCCGCCCCCCTACGCAACCATCTTCCCCGACAGCCTTCCGGAATAAGGATTGACATGCATGGACTGTGGTCCATTGCTTTAGTGGAGCAGTGAACTCGTCGAGGCCTGGGGCCTGCTAGAACCTGAGCGCGCGCGAAGCGCGCGCGATGGTTCGAGTATATATATATATATATATCTATGTCTATTCCCAGTATTCTTAAATTACCAGGGACCCCCCCCGAAATCGGACCCCCCGAGTCCTGGGCCCCCGGGACCCTCTGGACCCCGTGCACGTGCAGGGAGACCGCGGTTGGAGGCAGGGTGGCCCTAGGAAGCCCCCAGGAGGCCCCCGGAAGACGCCCAGGCAGGAGGCCTCCAGAAGGCTTCAGGAAAGCCTGAACGAATTCCGTGGGGCCCCCAGGGGCTTTCCAAGGAGGAGCCTCCGCAAAACGAGCCGAGGAGGATGGCGAAGAACTCGCAGGGTAGGGCGATAGTGAGGAAAGGATCACGAGTAACATCCTTATAATGGCGATGCCGGAAAAGGCAACAAGGAGTTATCGCTAAATTGTCTGTTTGACCTTCTTGCCATTCATTCCACCTGTATACCAAATTTCAAAGACAAAGGTGCATGGCCTGAAGCGCAAATGCAGTCTTGTATATAGTTACATATACACATCAGTCTGCCGAAGGTCGTGGGCGAAACACATGCCCGTATCCGCTGCCTCGCGGCCCAGGCCCCGGGGCCGCGATCCCGAGGACACGGAGCGTTTTTTCGTGGACGCCGCGCTCGGAGCGTATCTGTGCGACCGCGTAGACGCGTGATCGCGCCCCGGAATCCAGACCGCGAGGGCACAGACACGGACTCGGGAGTCCGCAGGGGGGGAGGGCTGCCCCCGGGTGGGGCTGGGGAGCGGGCCCAGCCGTAGGCTCCCGTGCAACGCGTTTCGTTCTTCCAGGGGCCCTCTGGAGCGATTCCTCCTCCGACGCCACCTGTGCCCCTGCCCCACCTCTGGGCCCCCCCCCCCCCCCCCTACGGGGCGTGAAAACGACCACAGCCACTGCTTTTCTTTTGTTGCCGCCTTCCAGCCCGCAGAAACAAAGCAGTGGTTGTGGTCATGTTCGTTGAGCTTGGCACCAGGGAAATGACCACAACCACTGTTTCTTGTTCGGCTGGCTGGAAGGCGGCGCAAACAAGAGGCAGTGGCTGTGGCCATTTTCCCGTCCCGCACCCCCGACGGATCTGCCCGCCGCTCGTGCGGAGGCTCCGTCTACTCGGGCAGCTTCCTCGCGAACCGCTTCCACGGGGTGGGCGAGTACACGTGGCCCGACGGCCGCGTCTACTCGGGCATGCGGGGCGCTCGGTCCCTGCCAACGTCTTCCGGCCGCCACCTCCTCCCCCTTCCGTCGCCGTCGTCGTCGTCGTCGTCGTCGTCTTTATCGTCGTCTTTCTCGTCGTCGTCGTTATCGTCGTCTTCTTTATCGTCGTCGTCTTTATCGTCGTCGTCTTTGTCGTTTTCGTCTTTACTATCGTCGTCTGTATCTTCGTCTTTATCGTCGTCTTTATCGTCGTCTTTATCGTCGCCGTCGTCGTCTTTATCGTCGCCGTCTTTATCGTCTTTATAGTCTTTATCGTCTTCATCGTCTTCATCGTCTTTATCGTCTTTATCGTCTTCATCGTCTTTATCGTCTTCATCGTCTTTATCGTCGTCGTCGTCGTCATCGTCGTGATTCATCGCTCGCTCGATCGAGGATCGCTTTCTGTTTTGCTGGTCTTGTAGCTCTTGTTGCTCCCTCTCCTCGGGGGCAAGGATCGGGGGGGACAGGCACAGGGGGGGACGCATCGACCCCCCAATCGCCCCTGGATCGCAGAATGGGGGCCCGATAGCCCGATAGCCCGCCCAGGAAGGTGCGGCTTTGCTATCGGGGGCCTACAGCGAGCGGCTTGAATAAGGAACACTTACTTTTCAAAAGGGGCTCGGTCGTTCCTTGAGTTTGCATGCTTTATTTACAGTTCCTGATGCGTTATTTATTATGTATCGTTCCTAGATACGAATCGTTTTTTTTCCTATCAGTTCTTTCCTCCTCCTCCTCCTCCTCCTCCTCCTCCTTGCGCAGCACTGTCCTGCTCACCTTGTTGTGTCGACGGAATTCAAGCGGAAATCTGCAGTCCAGCTCCCCCGCTTCCCCGCCGAGGTAGGGCCCAGTCTGGCGCGATGATGCGAATGGTGGTTCGACGTTCTTGGGATGTCCGCGCCCTCTCTCTTTGCCCCCCTCCCCCCTCTCCAAAATAGTTGTGCTCGAAAAACAATTTGTTATGTATCGTTCCTTGTGCGTCATTCCCTGGGATAGATAAGGGGCCTCGTTCCTTAAATATCGTTCCTTAGGTCAGGCCGATGACGGTATCGCCGATCTATCGGCGATGCACCGCCGACTCCGGGGCGACGCATCCCCCCCTATATGCCAGGCCCCTCCTGCCGTTGCCGCTCGTCTCCCCCTGCCCTGCGGAGCCTCGGGCCTCTCGGGCCTCCGGCGGAACCTCGGGAGCCTCCCCCGTGGCGGCCGTCGCCGTGGCGGGTGCCGCCGTGGCGGCCCCGCGGCGGCGGGTCTTTCGAGGTGCTCGGCCTCTGTCAGTAGGGAAAGAAACACACAGACACAATTAATCGTCCACTCCCAGGAAAATATGGGAAAATATGGGAAGTGGGGGGAAGACAGAAACCCAGAAAATATTGAAAATATGGGGATTTGTTTTATTTGTGTGTATTTATTTGTGTGTCCCAGGGCCCCTTCATGTTCGGCCTCCAGGAGGTCGCTTCCCTGGGCCCCGAGGGCCGCTGCTCCCCGGGCCTCTCCTGCGGTGCGCGTTCTGACCAGGGTTTCGAGGCGAGTCCAGCGGTGGCGGCGAGGGCCTCCCAGGAGGCCCGAAGAGGGAACAGCAGGGGAAGCGTAGCCGTATCTGAGGAAGCATAAAGGGGAGCAAGAGGGAACAACACGGAACAAAGAAGAGGGATATCGGGAAACCAAACGGGAAACAGAAAGGGAACCACAGGGGAACCAGGGGGGCCGTCAACACAAACGACCCCTGGAGGAGAGCCCGGCCCCATGGATCGGCGGCGCGCCGGGGGGGGAAGTGAGAGGGAGAAGGCCTTCTCACAGGGCGGCACCCTTCAGGCGATCGCAAACATGGCGGAAGGGGGCTTGGCTTAGCGACGGGTCCCGCGTCCATGGGAAATCACAGATTGCCGCCGCCCAACGAGGCGGCACCGGCCGCATGTTGGGGAGGGCGCCTCCCCCGATCCATGGATTAGGCGACCGCGCGTCAATCAGGAGGGAACAAAACACACAGACACAATGAATCGCCGATTCCCAGGAAAATATATGGGAAGTGGGGGGGGAAGACGCAGACCCAGAAGATCTGGGAAATGATGGGGACATCTCTGACTTGTGTGTATCTGTTGGTGTGCCCCAGGGCCCCTCCAGCCGAGCCCATGAGCCCATGGACCGCCAGTCCAGAGCTGCGCGCCCCCGAGCCCTGCCCCCTCGCCGCCCGCCCCTCCTTGTCCGAGGGGCCCTCTCTGCGCTCGGGCGCGCGGGGGCTCCGGCCCTCGCCCGGCCCTCCCCGGCGGCGGCCTCCGCATATGCAGCCCTCGCCGACCGGCGCTCCAGTCGGCGGCGAGCGAGGGGGGAAGCGATGGGGGGGAGGAGGCCCCCTCTCGGAAGGCGCCGGGGCTTCTCAGGAGCCCGCCGCGGCCTTCCGAGAAGCCGTCTGCGCCTTCGGGGGCGGCGTGGGCGACTTCTCAGAAGGCCCGAGGGCTCTCCGAGCCTCCTGGGAAGGGCCCGCCCCTCCTCACCTCCCCCCCCCCCGGGCGCGCCGCCGACGGTCCTCCGGCAGCGGAGTCCGAATCCTGCCCTCGCCGATCAACGTTTCAGGCAGCTCGACGGGGTCCGATTCGGGCAGGAGGCTCGGAAAGCCCTCGGGCCTTCTGAGAAGTTGCCCACGCCGCCCCCGCAGGCGCAGACGGCTTCTCGGAAGGCCGCGGAGGGCTTGTGAGAAGCCCCGGCGCCTTCTGAGAGGGGGCCTCCTCCCCCCTCGCTTCCCCCCTCGCTCGCCGCCCAGAGAGGAGCAGGGGGAAGGGGAGGGAAGAAGAGAAGGCGACCGCAAGCAGACGGGACGGTGGTCCTGATGTACAGTCGGGGCGCTGACCTAAGGAACCCTAAATAAGGAGCGAGACCCCTCTTTTCCATAAGTCAACCTTCGGTTTCCTTTCGAAAACATAAGGAAAACCTGAGGCAAGCTGCGAAACACTTCAGGAACGCGGAGCCCCTCCCCAACGAAAAGGGTTCCTTCTTCAAGGCCCCGACTGTAGCGGGGTTCCTGAAGGAAAGACGTCCTGATGGAACGGGGGTCCTGAGGCAGCGGGGGTCCTGAGGGAAGTGTCCAGAAGGGGCGTCGAACGGCAAGCAGCATCTGTATTGTCGAGATTGTTCGGGAAATCCGCGCGGATGTGTCGGTCGGGCCGGCGCTGGACTCCTCTTGCGCGCGAAGCGTGCCAGAGGGGGCGCCAGAGGCGCCGCGCGGGCGTGTCCAGCGCCGACCCAAGCAATCTGCGCGGGCCTCTGAAAGTTTGTGCTTGCAAATCAGCTTTTCGGTTCAGAAGAAATTTGGCCCCTTGAGTTGTGCAAGCAGGCAGCAACGATGACGCAGACAGCAGCACACCTCGCTACGCAACCGAAGCGACAGACCGAGACAGCGAGACGACAACGATCCCGACGACGAGGACACGATGGATCAGTGGGTCGAGTACATCTGGCGAGCCACGCGGCGCGCAGAGCAGCCCATGGCACACCACAGCATCCTGACTTGGGAGGATAATTGTATACGATTGTCGTGGCGCATCGCGTCGAGGGTTGCCAATCACGAGCGCAGCATATGGACGTGGCGTGTACTGCACCAGCGACTGGACGTCAACCATTGACAGCGTGGACTACGACAGCACGGGGGCTCACTCCAGCAGTGCAGACCTACATACACTTCCCGCACCATCCAGCACAAAGGAACAGCCAAATGACACCACAAGGGTACAAACAAATTGCTCAAGACGCCCTGAACACTTTGTTCAAGGCGCCACACCTGATCGCAGATTGAGAACGACTACGCCAACATCTGAATCAAAAGCACACATTCGTTAAGGATCACACACGCAAGTGCACGGCATCACCCACGCACGAGGACGCCGATTACGAGGATTTCTCATCCTCCCGCCTCGAATTGAATCCCACATTTTGTATCTATCTTCCGACATATCCAATTGGCAGCGCCCCTGTTTCCATAAACGTGTGTTTTCTTTCCACTGGTTGCAACATGAACGTGTTCACAGTTTGTAGGTTTCCGCTGGTGCAGAACTCGATCATCAGATCCCGGTTTGGCAGCCGAAAATCGTGTTGTGGGCGCCGTTCCCACCCAAATTCTCCCACATCAGCGTCTTCTCCTGGATGAGTTGTTCCAATTCTGGAGTTGAAATCGCCAATGATCAGCTTGCCATTGGTAACACTGCAAGAGCGGGACGTCGCATCCAACGCTGCATGAACATGTAGTCTTTCAGGCAGCGGCTTGAGGTTGTGAGGCGCGCATCCTGTAATAATGGCCGGCTGCCCATGCCATTTCTGATTTTTAGCCATGCCAGTACGTGAGATATTTGTATGCTTTAACTCTGTGCTGGCAAGCTGGTGAAATGATGAGTCCAACGCCTGTCCAAGTACGTTCTATCATGTCTTCGCCAAATGAGATAACCTTGTACCCGTCGGCCCCGTAGACTTCTGCTTTTACACGGCGGGCTTCTTGCAAATATATGACTTCAATGCCATACTACTTTATGTGCAGAAGAAGTTCAGCAGTTTTCGTTTCAGCGAGGCCTCGAACGGTCCATGTGGCAACTTTAGTTGAAGTCGTATCGGGATCCGACATAGGATTGGGGAACCAGTTATACTAGCATCATCGCCTGCATAATTATTCAAGTAGTGAGAACTTGAACGAGGAGCGCTGTCGGCAGTGGTATCTGTGCCCAATCCCGGAGCGGATCCAGGACAGGTAGCGGGAAGTTGCTGGCTACAGACCATTACCTGGTGGTGGCGGACGTTGTGGTACATTTGGCTACACATGAACCACGTCCAACGGGAAAGCCGGACAGACATGCCATATAATATGCAAACACTCATTCAAAAGTGTGTCGACGCATTTGCAGCTACAAATTAACCGTATCCTGGGCAGCCGGCTTCTTTGCGAGACATGTGGGAAGAGGGGAAATGGTCACGCAATTTGCAGCCATCGCGTTCCCGATGCGCTAACAAGAGA